ATTTACATAGCTCTTCAGTTAGTTGCATATGGCCAGGCTCAAGAAGTACACTGCATGAGAAAATATATGCACTCCCATTTCAAAAGGATCTGATAATATGAATGAAACATGACCCAAATGAACAAAATGCACGATGTCCTGCAGGTTACTTATCCTGCTTGAAAACTGAAGAAAACCAAGCTGCAGTTTCAGACTTCCAGGGGCATACACTCATTCCTGTCAGCAGAAAAAGAAGAAATTTGAGTAAGATGAAACACAGTATCTCAGATGTACAGATATTAAGATAAAAAAAATTGCTTTTGCTGATGTCTAATCAGAACCTTCTGTTTCCTTGGGTCTGTATTTGGATCATCTACCTGCAGAAGAGACAAAGGGAACAGAATGTTACAGTAAAATATTGGAAAGCTAAAAAAACTCTTTCTTCAAACCTGGAAAAAAAAAAAAATATCACTCTCAGATGTCAATAAAGTCTCAGTTGAGTACAGTGTAAGTGAAAGCAGCTGGCCAGCCAGGCTTCCTACAGACCATAGAAAAAAAGTGAAGGGGTGTAGTCTATCCAGCATATCTCATCTCTGCATTCACGCAGCCTCCATCCGTGCCACATCTGCTTGTTGGCAGACAAGTGCTGACTTGGCAGGTCTCTAATCTGCCAGCCTTCAGGTGTTGTGATAAACCACAAATACCATCAGCATGGGCCTCTGATCAATCTCTTCTGCTCCACATTTGGTGGAAAGCCTTTGTGCATGGGCAGCAGCCCTGCTGTTAAGGAGCAGGGAGAAGGTGCTCCACTATTCCCTTTTCTTTGACATTTGTCAATGACAAAGCAACAGCAAGGGGATTGTCACGCTGCTGCGCTGTGCTCTGCTCTGAATTGTTGCTGCAGACACTCTGCCTGCCTTTCCAGTTCAAATACAGATGAAGTGGGAGATGTGTTTGAAAAGTCTCAGTCTTAAGTACTGTGTCTAGGTCTGTGGGATGTCAACTCTGTTGTTTGCAGCCTGCAGTTGCTAAGCTAAAACAGAACAGAACAAAGAGAAAAGAATTACATTAGATTCATATGTATGTAGATAAACATGATAAAAAGGTACAACACCCTAATTGGTACTATGACAAACCTTACAAACATCATTAGGCAGGCTCATTTGCTGCCCTGTGATTTAATACACAGGCCCTTGTTATCTCTCCAAGCTTCTTCTGTGCCGTCTCTTACAGAACAAAATTCACAAGCACAAGAACTAGAAAGTGTTTTCCTCATTCCTTGCCTCTAGATCTAGTAATATAAGTCTGTTTGACAGTAGAAGGAATACTACTTATAAAGCGTGTTGATTCTGGCAGTTGGCCGTTAACAAGGTATACAATTACTGCATTCCTATTTGCAGATTTCCTTTTGGAAAGGAGCATATAATTTAATTCCTTAAAACTAATTTTGATCCAAACCGGTCATGCAAGTCTGTGATCTGTAACAAGAATGATTTGCAGCTTCAGCACTAAAACATTTGGGTATTTCTGGGTGTCTGAAGGTAACAACAACAAATAAAAAATGCATGCAAAGCTGGAACTGCATTTGCAGTGCTCACCTTCCCGGCAGTCTGCTCAGATTTTATGGCAGGTTATAATCCAATGTGGTCTTGCTTCTTCTCCTCTGTGTATTATCATCTAAGATCTTTGAGCTCTTTGGAATATAGCACCTAGCACACTGTGAGATACAAATAAAAAGCAGTGCTACCAGACAATCCCCTCCCCTGCTCAGTGTTTCAGAGAAGTAAGTGCAGGAGAAATCACTACTGACTTTTCCACAAAGAAATAAGACAAAAAGGCACAAGGTCTTAACTCCATAATAACAAGGTCCTAGTGTAACCTTCTATCTGGCCACTAATGGTAGCGCATGTCTCAGTGAAATTACACTGATGTCATTTCTTGAAGCACATTCCTGAGGAAGAAGGGAGATCAAACCACAAAACAGAGATATCTTAATCTACTGAATATGCTTTGCAAGAAAAAGCTTTTAGAGAAACAGGAGAAAGATGACAGCCCAGTCTGATCCAGCCTCACTCATCTCCTTCCCACTGGTGTTGACCACAGAGAGCTCTTTGCAGCAGCAGAAGGGCCCTGTGCACTGGAAAGGAGTCAGAGGAGAGATGCAACCCACCCAGCAGGAGGGTCTGCCAACACAGAGCTCAGCAAGCTGGTCTCAGGCTTCTTAGCTCCCCAAGTAGCAACAGGTACAGCAGCACATCTCTGGCAGGCAAGGGAAAAAACCTGATAGTGCAAAGAGACATGACTCAGCACAGACCTCTTGTCCATTCAGACCAACAGCCAACTCCCTGCACACTTGTTTTCTGCAGCCCTACTCCTCAGCACACTTGTTGTATACAGGTATGCATACAGTGCTGGGAGACCAAACCTTGGCTTTATCCCAGTTTGTCCTGTTCTTTTGTGTACACAAAACCAAGAGTTAACCCATAAACTATAATGATAAATATGCAATTTCACTTTATATATTAACTGATGCATCCAATGAAGAATGTCCTTGAGGCTCCTTGGCTATAATCCATTTGTAAATGCAAACAGTCCTGAATCTCATCATTTATTATTCTGCTAATGTCTACCTTACTGTATACTGAGCCTGCTTAGTTTCAGCAAGCTAAAAATTACAGCTGCTTCTCACAGTGTATCTGTTTACTCCACTGGTTTGTGCACAGCTGCTGTGGTTCTGCAAGTTGACTTTCTGTTCAAGTCTAGCTTGGAAGGAAAGACACAGATCAAAATATTTGACATCATTAAGATATTTTTAAGTTAGATTTGCGTCATGTTTCGTTATCACTTACAGGTATCAGAATCATTTTACTGGAATAGACTAAAGGTTTGTGGGACTTAGCATCCAATCAGGTGCACTTGAAGATAAGCGTCCTTCAGAAGGAAATGCAATCTCCTAATAATGAATTTGTTATCCAGCATCACTGATGGAAATTGTTTCCAGTTCAGCATCTAACACAAAATCCGAGGATGAAAACTTTGTCGTTTTATCTTTGCTTACTGCAGTCATGTGCCAGTGTTTATGTAATTGCCCAACCATACTTTATGCAAGTTGTTTTCCTCACCAGTGCTAGCCAACAGCAACTCCCCTCCTTGTCCTCTGCATGAGATAAACAGGGGGGATAAACAGGGGGTATGTGTTACTTTCCTTCCCAGCATGAGATCATTCTCTTGATCCTCTCAGATGACTTAAAAAGGGGAACTCCAAAGCATCCCCCCTCTGCTGGCTTGTTGGCCCGTGTCTCAGTCATTTCTTGTCCAGTCTGAATCCAGATTGCCCAGGCCACAGGCAGGAGCAACCCAAAAGCAGCAGGGTGTAACCCACACGGGACAAACCCTTAAAGTGCAGTGCCATCCTGCTACAGCCATGCTCTCTGCTACCTGCAACTGCATTTCTAAGGAAGTTCCTCCTTTACACCACTAATGCTTAGTTTCATTTTCACTGGAAGTTTTCCCTTTTTAGGATGCAAACAGAACCAATGTCACACTCACGTTGATCCTGCACTACTGCAATGCCAGCTCTTTTTCTAATGTTACTCATCATTTAATTCAGCACCCCATTGCCTCTTATGCAACACTTAACAGCATTGTCTGGATCTGGGAGAAGTTACCAGGAGTTCAAAAGGAGCAGCGTTGACACAGTGTTAGCTGGTTTAATTCAGGGTTTTACAAGCACTTCTAAACCAGGTAGTGACATGTTTTTTGGCTGGCCGAGTGCAAGGCAGAAGTGAGGAACAGAGCAGAACAAGTTCCTTCTTCCTCTCACCATTTGCATTCAGGAGAGCAAAACATCATCTGTTGCAAGGCATTGCATCTGATGGGCCACACAGACTATGACAGTGCTGGCAAGCAGAAGGAAGCCAGGATAATCCCTCTGTTCCTGATTTTTTCCCTGGCATCTTCCCAAGAAGCGAGGGGTGTTTAAAAACGTTACCAGTAAGAGCAATCATCACTGAGCTAAATCATTCAGCCTTAAGTTTCTTCTTTACCTTAGAAGGGAAAGCTTTCTAATACCATCTTAAGCATACCCATAGGCTCATTTCTTTTTGCTATGCTAAAAACATCAATTAGTATAAGGTTTGGAGTACCTATGCTTTGCTACAGTGTACTAACATTTGAGCTGAAAACAACTCCTATGCTAGGGAATGCAATGGAAACAAAACAAAAATCCTTATCCTTACAGCCAAAAGAAAAAAAAAAAAAAAAGTCCTTCATCTGAGGGCAAGAAGACAGAGTGAAATTTCAGCACATTTAGAAACTTAGCATTTCAGCGCCTGAAAAAGTGTACTTTACAGAATGAGATACCTACGTAATGAAGTTATGCTCTAGGATACACACACATTATTATAATCATCAAGTACACTTTTCTCGTAAGAGCTTACTCCATGTCAAGCCTTTACTTGGTCCTACACAGCAAACAATATAGAGACCCAATTCTAAGGCACGTTTCCTTCAGCAAATAGAAAAAAATAGAATGAAAGCAATACGATTTGCCTAGCATAAACCCAATTAACTTCTAGTTACCAAAGCGGATTAGGGAGGAGCAGAGGAGACAGGAGAGGCAAGCGTCCCACTCCTATTCTGAGGGAGAGAAAAGAGCTCCCCGTGCACAGTACACTGAGTTACCTCCTGAAAAACAAGTCATTCCTCGGTTCTGCTCCAGCCCCTTGAATTGCTGCCTATAAGCAGCCAGGACTCTCATCTTCTCAGATTTTGCTAGAGGCACTGACCTTCACGCTGCTGCTCATCCACACCTGCAGCACAGAGCGGCTGGGGACAGCTTGCCAGCATCAGGCCACGTGCAGTGCATTTACAGTCATCTGTCAGTCCTAGCGCTTCCCAGCACCGCTGCTACCCGTCACTCCCTTTGGAGAAATGGGAAAACAAACAACACCAACACCACATCTCACACATCCAGAAGCATTTCTGTTAAGGCAGTGTCCGAAAGAAGAACAACAGATGAATTTCTGATGTTAAAAATATCATTTAATTAACGAAACATAAATCATACCAAAAAGTTAAAGTCACTTTTAGTCAATACATTCGCGTTTATTTTTTAAGAATATACTCTACACGTCTGAGTAAAAAAAAAAAAAAAAAAAGTTTTAAATAGACTTCAACCTGGAGCCCTTCACCCTGCCAGCCAACACCGCGGGGTCGGGCACCCGTCCCCGTGAGCGGGCAGCTCCGTGCCACCCCGCTCGCTTTCATCGGCTTGTGTGGAGCCTCAGATGGGCCAGCGGGAACATGTCGCCGGCTCAGCGACCAGCCCGTACAAAATAATAAAGGGAAAAACAAACAAACAAAAATAATAAAATTAATGAGCTAGTATCGATTAATTTACGTCTCTCTCTTTCTCTCATTTGTGCGTTGATAAAAGAAAAAAACAAAAAAACCGCAGTCCCGCCGGCGTGCCAAGGAGCCTCGACGCTTCGCCTCCACGCCCTCCGGACAGCAGGAGCGCCGACCAGGAGCCGCCCCGAGGAGGGAACCCCGCTCCCGACGGCCTCGCTCACTGCCCCCAGCTGCCGAAACCGATCTCCTGCTTGTACCGGTTGGTGAGCACGTTGGCCTTGCGGGTCAGCTTGGAGAGCACGGTGTGCAGGCCGCTCAGGTGGTAATGGAACTGCTGCTCCAGGTCCTCCTCCCCCTCGGCCTCCTCGGCGGGCCCGCCGCCCAGCTTGTCCTTCTTGCGGGCCGCCTCGTCGCCGGCCGCCTGCTGCACCACGCCCCACTCGATGTCGTTGCGGATGGACTTGAGCAGCACGTAGTGGCTATACATGTCCCGCCGCGAGAAGTAAGCGTCGCCGGGAGCGGCCTCCCGTTCGGGGCACACGGCTCCGGCCGCGTCCAGCTCGCCCAGCAGCAGCGGCACGTCGCGCAGCAGGCTGGGCACCATCACCGTCTGGTCCATGTTATTGACGGCGCCGATGAAGCGGTTCATGGCGTTGAACAGGGAGTACTTCTGGCTGTACGAATCGCAGATCTGCATCCTGCCGCCGGGGCTGGCTGCCGGCCGCCCGGCCCTCCGCCACGCACCGCACCGCTTCGCCGACGCCCCGGAGATCCCTGCGGGGAGGCGCCGCCGTGATGCGCTGCACTGCGGCCGGCCCGCCTTCCTGCCCCGCTCCCTCCCCGCCGCTTTATCGGCGGCCTCTTCCCTTCGGGCCGCCCCTCCCCGCCCCGCCTCCCTCCGACAAAAAAAAAAAAAAAACAAAAAAAAAAAACCCGCGGGGCCGGCCGGCACCCACCGCGCTCCGGAGCCGCCCTCCGCTGTCAGCGCTCCGCCGTCAGCCCGCAGCCACCGCCCGCAGCGCTGCTCCCATCCCCGGCGCCGTATTTATAGCGCCGCTCCTCGCGGCGCGGCGGGCGGCGCCGACCGAGTGACTGGCCGGCCGGCCGGCTGACTGACGGGCGGGCGGCGGGGACACGCGGGCCCCGCGTGCCGCCTGCGTTCTCCCCGCCCGCCCATTGGCTGTCGGCCGCGCGCGCAGCGTGACGCCCGCGCCGGCCGCCCAGCCCGCTCCGCGTGCCCCTCTCGCTGCCGCGCCTCCCCCCTCCGGCTCCCTCGCCGCGTGCGGGCCGCGAGCGGAGGAGGGGCGCCAAGCTCCCCTCTCAGTCTTTGTCTGCCGGCCAAAAGGCCGCCACAGCCGCCCGCCGGCGGCGGCGCCGGGGCGGCCGGCATCACCCCACAGCCTCACCTCCGAACCTAGCCAATCGGCGCCCCCGCTCCGCCGCCCCCCGCCCAATCGGCGAGCGGGGGGGCTGCGGCCAATCAAAAGCAAGAATCTGGAAAAAAGAGTCTTTCCCCCCCCCCCCCCTTCCGTGCAGCTTGCGCTCCGGCTGGCGCGTCCTTGGTAACAGCCTCCGCGGGTCACGTGGGGCGGAGCAGCACGGGGAGGGAGGAGCGCGTTGCCGTGGTAACGGGTCTGCCGCGCGGGCCGGGGGGAGAGCGGTGAGGGGGCGGCGCGGGCGACTCGCTGCGCGACCTCGGGGCAGCGCGAGCAGGGCGTGGGGAGCCGCGCCGTAGCTCCCCGCTCCCTGTGTGCTGCCTCACATCTCACGGTGTGTGGCAATAGGTAGGGTTAGGTTCAAATTCGCCATGTTCTGCTCAGCTCTGATAACGCAGAGTGACCGGAGCAGTGCCGCAGCATAGAATCGCTCAGGTTGGAAAAGACCTTAAAGATCATCGAGTCCAACCACAACCTGACCATACTGCCCGAACTCGAACAACTCTCTGCTAAATCATGTCCCTGAGCACCACATCCAAATGGTTTTTAAACGCAGCCAGGGATGGTGACTCAACCACCTCTCTAGGGATCCTATTCCAGTGCTTAAACGCCCTTTCTGTAAAGAAGTTTTTCCTGATATCCAACCTAAATTTAGCCTGGAGCAACTTGAGGCCATTTCCCCTTGTCCTGTCACCTGTCACCAGTGAGAAGAGACCTACCCCGCTCTCACTGCAATCACCTTCCAGGTATTTGAATAGAGCAATAAGGTCTCCCCTCAGCCTCCTTTTCCCCAGACTAAACAGCCCCAGTTCCTTCAGTCTCTCTTCATAGGCCATATTCTCCAAGCCCTTCACAAACCTTTTGCCCTTATTCAGACCTGCTCCAGCACCTTCATGTCCTTTCTGTACTGAGATGCTGAACACAGTGAGGTGAGGCCTCACCAATGCTGAGAACAGAGGCAGGATGACTTCCCTAGTCCTGCTCAGCACACCATTCCTGACACAAGCCAGGATGCCATCGGCCTTCTTGGCCACCTGGGCACACTGCTGGCTCACATTCAGCCAATTGTCCATCGGTACCCCAAGGTCCCTTTCCACCAGGCAGCTTTCCAGCCACTCCTCCCCAAGCCTATAGGATTACCTGGGGCTGTTGTGGCCAAAATACGGGGCCTGACAATTGGCCTCACCTTCCCCTCCCCTCCAATACAAAATGACATTCACATTTGTGGCTTTATATGCAAGCAACACTCACTTCACATATCCCCTTATTTAGTGCCTTTTGACCATGCAGTACACGGAATGAGGATCAGCTGGAAGTGCCTTATCTCATGCCCTGAGCAATGAGGAAACTTGCGTGCTCCCTGTGCCCTGGTACAAGGCTAAGGGGCTCCAGCGTTGTGCACGTGGCTGTTAGCAAGATCCCTCGCTGGCACGGTGCCCCCAGTGGTGCCAAGGAGAGCTGGGGGTGCTCAGGTCTTACAGAGCAGGGCTGCCTCCCTGACAGTCACAGGGACATTAGAGCTGCTGCTGTTTCTGAGCAGTGCTGCCAGCGCCCAGCAGTTCTCTAGAAGAGGCTGGCAGCTCTGGTGGTACTGTTTCAACCGGACAACAAAGTGCCTTTGTCAGCAGTGGGCACACTGCAGTCTGGCAGTGGCTGCATTTTGGCACCTGGGAAGCTGTTCTGCTGCATGGTGTTTGCAGAATCAGACGAGGTCGTGTGTGGGTGAGAAGCGATAAAAAACGTGCAAATGTTTAGTGTTACATTCTGAAGGCTGGGAGTGCCATTTGGGTCGGCCTTGTAAGAGCAGTATTTCTTGGGAATTTCACTTCCTCTTGCAATTTGTTGTAGATCTTACAAGGCAATTATAGCTGAGTGTAGGACACGGCAAGTGCTTTCATTCTGTTCCTAAATGGTATACATTGCCCAAACTCATGAAATGCTTCCATCGTTTTGGGTGGCAGGACAGATGCACTTCCTTCCCACCCTTTCCCAAACTCCGAACTGGGGAAACCCGTCATCTCTCATCTAGATGGAATGTATGTAAATTTATCATTTTAATTGATGTCTCTCCACGAGCTTTGTATAATCAGCACTCGTAGCTTAACATGCTAATGAACAGGGTGAGTAAAAATCTAATACGTTAAAGGAATGCAGACCAATTTGTCTGAGTCCTGCTGAGATCTGTGGCATGACTTTTGCAAAGATTTACTTCCATCTGATTTTGCCCTCGTTTCTTTTGGTCCTCTGTGAGAGGAACGATCCTCCTGCACTGATAGAAGCCTCTGGGAAGGAGCAAAGAGGGGTCAGGAAGAGGACGCTTGGAGAACAGAGCAGAGCTCATAAATCCCCTTTCCCTTGGGCAGACACACAGCTCTGCATGAGACAGAGCAAGGGTTCTGCTATGCTGCATCCCCACGGCTCGGAGCAGCATCTTGCCTGCGAGGTGCAGAGCAGCAGCGGGCTGCAGCTGGAGCCTTGCTTCAAGGAGGAGCATGGAGCTGGGCTGCTGGGAAGACCCCCAGAGCCATCCAGCTCTGCACCCGGCACTCGGCAACCTGCCAAGCCCTGGCTTCCTCAGCAGCATGCCTGGAAATCATCACAGGTTCGGCTTCAAGCTGTTAACTGGGGGCCGGAGTCCCTCCCAAGTGGTGCTCAGCTACCACCAGCAGGTCAAAGCAGCCTGAAATCCGCCAGAAAGCCGGTGATGCGATAAATGTTCCCGTTGCATGTTCACACTGCTCTTGTGCTACCTCCCTCTCTCCCACCTTCTGCCAGTCTCATCTATTCTCACCATAAGCCCGTCAGAGTAGACACGGTGATGTGCGGTGCCCGGGACAATGGTGATCCCTTTCATGTGGCTCCTTAGCACTCCCATAATAAGCCTGATAAATAAAACATGGGTTGCAGACACGGATTTACTGGAGAGGGCTAAGTGGGCTGTAGCTCCCTCATTAGTCTCTCCCGGTGCAGCATGCGTGCTCCTCATTAGGTGGCACAGTAGCAGTTGTGCCTAGTCATCTGCCATGCAGCCACAGCCGCGCCAAGGATGCACCAGGGATCCGAGGGATTTTTTCCTCCTCTGCTAGTAATAGGAAGTTACAAGGAAAAACAAAGACCTTCAGTGTGAAGAGGATGAAGGGGGTCAGACTGCAATACCGAATCTTATTTTCTGTCCCTTGCTTCTCAGGAAACAAACACAGAGAAATCCACCTGGCCGTGTTGGTAGCAAAGTGGTGTGAGTAGAACTGAGACTTTGGGCTGCACAAACTCTGATTTTAAATAGCTTTGTTTCCCTTCAGTCTTAAATGCCGCTTGTAAACTCTTGTCTGCGCTATAAACTTCATCCTCTCCCTTGCATTTTTCTTCTTCTATTTAAGGGAAAAGAATCAATTTGGCTGGTTTCAAGACCCTCAAAGCTGGGGACTTAGGAATCTGGGTTAATCTGAGCAGGGTTTGTGGAGGTTTGATCCAGCTTTTCTTTCCGGCCATCATTTAAATCCCTCCTACCTCCTGCATACAAGCTGCAACTGCATCATCATAGTAACCCTGTGACCGAGAGGCATGAGAGCCTCCTTTGAGACTGCAATCTCACTCTGAACAGCTCTCCAGCGGGTGCTCCTGAGTGGCAATACATCATGCAATTTTCTCCTTTAGAGGTGTGCGGTGTCATCTCGCTGCCCTGCCTGGCTGGGTCTGGCCTGGGTGCAGGCACGCCATGGCACAGATGCGGCACCGATGTGCCTGAGTTCGCAGACCTGTCAGCAGGGTGGGCATCACCTTTCAGCACTGCCTGTTACGCCTCCCCACCAGCGTTTCCCACGAGGTCTTTTCAATATCCTTACTGCCAAATTGAGGGATAGCAGGTCTTTGTGCGGCAGCCACAGATGAAAGTACACACAGGGTCAGGAACAAACCTTGCCCCTTCCCCTTTGCAGTTGCGTCCATACTCTGACACATAAGGTACCTGTTTCAAATGGGAGAGGACTTCGTTGCCATAAGGAAATAATCCTCTGTAAACCTGTGAACCTGTAAACCTGTAACAGTATTTAATATGCACAGATCCAAACAAATGCCACAATGATGTACTTTTATGGACAAATATTATATATTAAGCCTTGATTTATACATCTGTGTGTAATACGCTGGGTTCTGAAGAGAGCCTTTAATCTCTGTGATGAGGCAGCACACACACTGAAACACCGAGTAAATCCGCACAGAAGCGATGCACCGAATGCAGCATCCATCAGAGTAAACACACAATGCCGTCCTTCTGTAATGTGTGCAGTTTGGGCATGGCACTGACATCAGGAATTGCATCACCTGCAGCACGTGTGCAGTTTCTGCTGCCTGTCCCCACTGCAGCTCGTGGAAGAAGTCCCCAGATGGAGGGTAAGCCCTCTGCCTGCCCTTCCCTCCCAGACTCTGCCACACCTTGCCTTTGGCCTGCTTGCCTGGGTGCTGTGGGGGCCCGTTTCCCTATTTCCCCTTAGTCAGAGTGGGAGATAACGTGGGCATTGTCTCAGCGCAGGGTTCTGCATTTAATAATCTCACCGGCTCAACTGTTTTTATCTGAATCTCCCTCCTGAACTGATAAATCTAAATTGCACATTTTCTAAACCGCTTAGCTTAGGGGTAAATCTTGCAGGTATCCTCAAATGACTAGCTGCGTCTTTT